AAAATATATAAATAGAACAACGAAACTATATCAAAAGGCACGAGCCGCTGAACTTGACAAATATCGCAACGACGAAGAAAGGAAAGCGGAATTAGAAGAACATACTCTCGAAAATTTTCTATACGGATTACCTCGTGAGATACGCCAGGAGGTTGTAATAAAAAATCCAAAATCGTTAGATGCTGGATTCGATCTAGTCATGGAACTAGAAAGAAAAATAAAAAATCATAAGCGAGCTCGCAATAATTATGACAGTGATTCGCCAGATGACTACCGGAAGTCCAGAAGAAACCACTCGAGTAGGCGATCCCACAAACGAGTTTCGTACCCAAACTCTCCAAGCCCATACGATAGGTATCACAAAAGACATTACCGAGATGTGTCTAGTTCAAGTTCAACCGCGAGCTCTACTTCTGAGTCCAGTGATGACGAAAGAGCCAATCACCATCGCACTTACGGAATGCATGTAAGGAGGTATCGTTCATCCTCGGCATCCACCGACACTTCCAGGTCTCGCGATCGGAATGGAGAGAAAACGCCCGAACGTAGGAAGCAGTGAAAAAAATTATTTTGCTGGAAATGCGGCAACAAGGGTCTGGACGGAAAAACTTGCGGAAAATCTCGTGCAAAATCCCCGTCACCCAGTAGGAAGAGAAATCATCCAAGATCCAATCGTCATAGATCATCCTCTACCGAATCCACCGGTTCTTTAAACTCGGAAGGCGCTCACCGCGTGTCACACACGGTGAGCGACAAGAAATCCAAAGCGAAGGATGAAGGGAAGACCGTGAGGTTCACGGACAGAACAACACCCAAGGAAGACCAGAATACTACGTCAAGGAAGCTCCTCCACCGACGATCATCCTCCAAGTCCCCGAGCTAAGAGGAAAAGAAAATATCTTTCTAATCGATTTAGGATCCTCAGTTAACTTAGTCCAACAGGAAAGTCTTAACGATGATGCAAGGTTAGAATACAAGGAAATAATTGATATCGAAGGTGTATCAGGACACTTCGTCACCACTGTGGGAGCCGTGTTACTAACTATCGGTAATCGAAAAGTATTCTTCTATGTGGTCAAAGGATCCTCTTGGCCATACAGCGGAATACTTGGAGTCGCATATTTCACGCAGGATAATGCAGAAATATCTTTCCACCATAAAACAATAGTGACAGACGACAACCCGATACGACCAAAGCCATTTGCCCAAGCTGGAGAAATAAAAACGGCAGCATATTCGGCACAAAGAACCAAGCACGTCATAAAGGCTCGCTCACGACAACAAGTTGCGATAAGGATAGCGAATACGGAAATCACCGAAGGATACCTGCCTCGAATAGAAACTCCCCGAGACATTATAATCGGAGAAAATTTAGTGACCAATCGCCAAGGAATCTGCTACACTATTGCAACTAACGTCAGCAACAAAAATCAAGAACTCGAATTAGAACCTCAGATACTGGAACCTTTCGAATTCCTCTCAGAAGCAGAAGATTCCTATGGTGAAGCAACCATGGACCCCGAGGAACGTTTTAACCAAATTCAAAAGGCTTTAAGGTTGGATCATCTTAATGAGGAAGAACAAGAACACGTAGCTGAGATTATCAACGACTTTCCGGATCAATTCCACCTTACCGGTGACAAACTAGGAATTTCAAAAACAGTCGTTCATACAATACCTACCATAGATGAAACACCGACCCATACTAAACAGTATCGGTACCCGCCAATTCATCAAAAGGAGATTAAACGTCAAATTTCCAACTTGCTTGAAAATGACGTCATTCAATCATCCATATCACCATATAATTCACCCCTGTGAATTGTTCCCAAAAAGGCCGACTCACAAGGGAACCCAAGGTGGAGGTGATCGACTTCAGAGCGCTTAACGAAAAAACGATTGGAGATAGTTATCCTCTACCTTGCATCACGGAGACATTAGACCAAGTCGGTAGCGCTAAATATTTCTCTGTATTCGACCTAGCCAGTGGATTCCACCAGATAGGAATGGATCCTAAGGACAGAACGAAAACGGCATTTACAACACCCAATGGGCACTACGAGTACATCCGAATGCCCTTTGGCCTCAAAAACGCACTAGCAACCTTCCAGAGGTTAATGGACCAAGTTCTAACTGGACTACAAGGAACAGAGCTATTTGTGTACCTAGACGATATCGTCATTTTCGCATCATCTCTTGAAGAACATGGACAGAAGGTTCGAGCTATGCTCCAACGACTGAAGGAACATGGATTAACACTTCAACCGGATAAATGCGAGTTCTTACGCAAGGAGGTCACTTATTTAGGCCACATACTTTCAGAAGAAGGAGTCCGTCCTGACCCAAAGAAACTGATAGCAGTCAAAAATTTCCCCATACCCAAAAACCAGAAAAACATTAAACAGTTTCTGGGTTTAGCAGGATACTATCGAAGGTTCATTGCAAATTTCTCTAAGATAGCTAAACCTCTGACAAGCTTACTGAAGAAAGAAGTCACCTTTCATTGGGGACCGGAACAACAAGCTGGTTTTGAAACCTTGAGAGATATGCTGTGCAAAGAACCCATACTCCAATACCCGAATTTCAATGAACCCTTCATTGTAACAACTGACGCTTCTGACTATGCCATCGGAGCTATTCTGAGTAAAGGAAAAATTGGTCAAGCCCTGCCAATAGCTTACACCTCAAGACTTCTGAACTCTGCGGAAACCAACTATTCAACAACTGAAAAGGAGTGTCTTGCCATCATCTACGCTGTAGCATACTTCCGACCCTATCTAGACGGTCACAAGTTCACTTTGGTAACAGATCATCGTCCTCTAGTCTGGCTACATTCCGTCAAGGACCCTAGTTCACGACTGATGCGATGGAGACTTAAACTGGCTGATTACGAATATACGGTCACATACAAGTCGGGTAAAACGAAATTTTTATATAATACCTCGGTACACGAAGCAACGTATTTCACTCCCTACGAACTCATCTTTGGAAAACCTGCAAGAATACCTTCATCATATCCGGACACGAATGATCTAAAAACGTACGGTGACTACTTAGCAGAACTAATCACCCATCTGAACAAAATCAGAAACATTGCCCGCAATACATTAGTGCAGACTAAGGAAAAAACAAAGGAACGGTACGACAAGGAAATAAAACCAATCAAATTTAACCCAGGAGATAGGGTATACGTTTTAAAGGAGCCAAGACATCACAAATTCGATCCACATTATGAAGGCCCGTACGAAATTGTACAGTTATTAAAATTGAACAACACAGTCATAAAAACCGACAAAGGAAAAATCAAAGTAAAACATTTGGACAAATTAAAACCTGTGAGCTCTGTCCAAAGACCGATCCAGAATCATCAACCATGCTAAAAATAAGCTGTTCAATTTCCAGAAACAGGATGTTGCGCATAATTTTAACCTTATTCTGCGCACCACGGATCAACGGAATTCCGCAAGATGGAGCACCTGACTATCAGATTTCTCCATTAAAGAACAATATCGGCTTGCATTTTGAGAAACTCCACGACATGCGCATTTATCATGTGGAATGGAATCTGGTCACCTCGCTAGAAATCGGTGCATTCCTAAAGCATCATCCACGCTTAGAGGAACACAAACTTGAAGAAAATAAACAATGCTTATCTATGCCATGCGAGGCCCGCGTAGAAATAACCCATCTAATGGCCAGACTCGCTGACTCTCGTAAGGATGAGGATCTCTTACAAGGCATTGTTGGAGAAATAAAAGAAGAAGGAAACCGCCGGAAGTGCGGTGCACCACTCGGATTCATAGGCACTATAAGTCAAGCTCTTTTTGGAACCCTCACAGAGGCCGACGCTGAGTACTACAATATCGAATTAGATAAACTACACAAGGACCAAAATCATCTATCGGAACTACTGGCAAACCAGACCCATATAGTTCGATCAGAATTCCAAAATATACATCAGCACGTTCAGAATCTCACGATACTGGCCAATAGAAACAAAGCCACCACCGAACTACTTGCCACAGAACTAAGCAAGCAACAAAACGCCATGAAGGAAGAAGCCTACCAAATATCATCTCTAAAGTGGCTACATAGCCTGGAAAGGGACCTACCGAACGCACCCAGTAAGGGACGAGGAACTCAAACCACCAAAATCCGGAGAGCCAATAGATACACCCAAACCGAAAAGTGTCTGTTCACCACAATCCGCACACAACATTTGTTTGGAGATCCGAGCACCGATGATGAGGAACCCCGCAACACCAAGGAAACCTGGAAACCCTATGACACAGAGGATGTGTCGGAACCAGAGGACATCACTGACAACACCATCCGTGACTTCATACCAGGGGAATCCCTGAGGAGGAAACCAAGACCTATTGTATCAGGGCAGCATGGCCGCGCATCGATAAAGAGATATTTTCGAACACTATCTCCGAAGATGCATAATTAAGTGAGCAAATGAGAAATACGGAAAACACAACAAAACATAAGTTTGTGCAAAAGCATCGCCCAAATAGACGATGTTTTGTCTAAGAGGGGAGATGTTACGTATATCGACCTTCATTCCGAAACAGAAGAATAACGTAGCCGACAGGGAGCATAATTGCAGACTCAGCACATTACCCAGTGCATTGCCCGTGCCACCTACCCAGCTGGTTAGCCGAGTGCATTCCTAACGTCCTCACCGTACCTAGAGCATGAGCAAAAATCGACTATACAAGCAGCCAAAATCATGGCACAGACGCTCAGAAAATCATTCAGTTTCACGCGTAAAAGATCGGACTGCACGTTGTCACTCGTGGCTCTAACCGTTAGAGTATTAGATTCAGTGTAGTATTCGCAATCTGGCCTAGGTACGGATTCGTTATTACATACCCTAGGGAACAAGCTGGATCGGTTACCGGGCAAAATTGAGCCGCATAGACTAGTCTTTCCAAATATCGCATAGATTTGATAGATTTCTGTTCCGCCAAATTTCTTCTTGCCTTAACCTCACACACAGTCAGGTTTTGTGATCCGATTTCACAATATCTCATAATAGAAACACTGTACACGACAATTAATTAAAAACTTTTAAATTGGTTGTAACAATATATCGTAAACTCACATTTTACTCAAGTTTTAAATATCTCTTACCTATCCTTAACATTTCAGAGAATATCTACTCACGTTGGAATAGCATGGCGTGTTTCAACACCTTAAACGAGCAGCGAACCCACACCATTGAGTGCATTCTTACCGCTCCGAATTCACTCAAACATTATTCACGTTACCTCCGGTCGTTCCTTTTTTTTGGTTACTTCTAAATTTTTGTTATCAAATTTAGAGGCTAGCCTCGCTAGCCTCTACGGCGTACGTAAGAATAGTCATCATAACTCGCTGTTGTAGATACCACTTTTTTTTTATACCCTGCAAAATTCTGTGTCAGAGATTTGTTAGACAGACTGGCTAGTCGTCTAGAAATAAAGAGAAAAGTTGTCGAATATAAAATAAATTTTTTAAAATTAGATAAAAATGGGTACGAACTTAACGCTGTTATACATACCCCTTTTTTAAAACTTTCACTGTACACACTGGCTGTCACTTTCTCCTCT